CTACACAATAGTTTGACAGGAAGAAATGAAAAACACCATATCACAGCTTTTTCCAACTGGCCTGCAGAGAGCTGGCTGATCACATAGTGCTGGATCTCTACTTTGTTTCCACCTGGTAAAAACAGAATAGATGGGACCGGGGGAGATAATAGAAAGCAAAAGCAATGGTGTGGTTAACTTTTACCAAAAATGAGTAAACACTTATCACTGAAGTTGTAAACATACTTTCCTCCTATTACTTTTCTAAGTAAGAAACTCCGGTAGCTGATGTAAGGAGGTTACATGATTACCATTGGGAGAGGAGATGATTTGCACAATTGCCAATAGGAAGGGAGGTGTCCATGAGACAATATCTTTAGGAACCAGCAGAATCTTGGGAACAACTGTTAGAGAATTGTTATCAAATAATACTGGCCCAAATCTGCCACTCTTACTCACATCAAGTTCCTTTCTCCATTCAAAGTCCAACTGAAATAAGTGTATCTACTCATGGAATAAGGTACCAGTCAATGTAAGTGTGGCAAACTTGAGCCGCAAATGATCAGAGGAAGGATTTGCATATGAGATTTTACTCAGATAGAACTTCCCTTATCTTCAGTGTGAGTTGTGCAAGACTAAAGACTACAAAATCTAACCATATTTCTTTTTTGTTAAGGATGTTTTTATACTCTCCAACTGCAGAGAAGCACATTTTTTAAAAAAAATTGTGGTGAAATTTAAATTTATTTAAAATACATATTTTAAACATAATATATCAACTTCTGCCAAAACATTAGTGAAAAAGGGGTTGGAAACGTCTTGAGGTGAATGTTTGGCATAAGTTTGTGTTTGGTGTACGCACGTGGAAACAAGTGTATCCCACTAGAAATCCATTCAGTATATTTGCATTTGATCATGAATGATTGACTTAACATACTCTTAGACCTTTGAAGAAGGGCTGGATTTTGTCCAGGGCTACAAGAGCTTCGGTAGTGCCCTCAGTGTGGAAAGTTAACTGGGCAAGATTATGGCGGCTGTGGGGGTGCAGAAGTCCAGCACAGTCCTAAAAGTGGCCAGGCTAGTCAGGAGGTGCACAAGTTCAGCATATCACCTGAGCAGCCTCTCTGAATGGAGCTCCTGTGATGCCCCTGGAAGAACTTAAAGCTGCTCCCCTGGACCCTATGGAAGCCTTCATAGAGCAGCAACAACGCTACCTTCTGCTCTCCTGGGGGAAATGCCTCTCTTTCTGGGCCAGCATGAGTACATCTGACCCAAGGGCAGATATACCAGTTTTAATTAACTGCAGTTGGACAACAGAAATTTATGCATAGATGTAGAAGTGAAATAGGGTCCAGTGCTACGCCATTAAAGTAGATCAAGAGCAGAACTGGGCTGTTATAGAAGCATCTCAGAGAATTTTTTTCTATTGTTACCAAGTTAGGTGGTAAGGAGAAAGAGTAAACATTTAAAAATCATAAAAGGTGGGGGATTAACCTAGGCAAATCATGTCAGAAATTTTATGAGGTTAAAAAAGATCCTTTTTTTCAATAATTTTAATTTATATGGTGCCTTATTTTCTCAGATTCCAAAAAATGCTCTATAATCTGCATTATGTATTGGACCTTCAATTAAAATTAAAATTTCAGTGGGGGGAAGATTAGTGAAGAGCTTGGTAGGCAGCAAGAAGAGAGCTAGGAGTTATGGGACAAGAGGAGGTAATAGCAAATAGCCAATCAGTGAGCAGAAAATAGAGTCCAGTGCTAAAATTTAACAAGTCAGAATCTGACAATATCATTAGTTTCCAGGAGACTGTGAAAGTATGCTACTGCTGATATGGCTGTTGCTTTTCTATTCCTGGTTTCTGGGACTTGCTTCATTTGGTTTTTGGTTCTTAGATACCATGGTGATAGTTGCTTCAAGTGCACAGACCACCACTACTGCAGCTTCCTCTGGAGCAGAGGGTTCTAGTCACATTGTTAGCCAATGTACAACATACTGCATTCAATGTAGGAGGAGGGATAGAAAATTTTGGTCGAGGAAATCAAGACTTAGTCTGGTCTACACTACAGAATTAGCTTGACGTAAGCTAATTCTGTAAGTGTCTACTTTACAATGTTACTTCCGCCAATGTAAATCACCCACTACACTGACTTAACTCCACCTCCACAAGAGGCATAGCTTAGGTTAGTGTAGTTAGGTTGATGCAGTGTCATTGTGGACACTGCATTGAGTTTTCCAACTGTCAGCCCCTGGGGTACCACCTGGCAGGGTTGGCAGCTGCAGCCCCACCGTCTGGCTCTGGCTGTCTTCCCCTCCTGGCACGGCTCTAGATGCAGGAGTTGTTGTGTCTAATCCAAGACAGATGACTATCCAGCCTCCTTTTGAAAACCTCCAGTGAAGAAGCTTCCAGATGTAGTATAGATATGCCTTACCCTGTTGTTGTCTAATAAAAAGTAGTCTGGGATCTTTGTTCAGTCAATAGTAATGCATATTTATATGGTCCTAGTGCAAAGGCCGTAACTGGGAGTGGTGCCTTTGACAAGAGGATCTAAGGATTGTCAATTTACATTTTATGGTAAGGTAAATTTAATAAACTTTGATGTGACCCTTTAAAAATTTATTTATCTCTGTTTAGCAGAGATGGAGACCAAGAGTATTCAGCTTGAATGTATGAGCTAACCCCTATAGAAAAGAACAATGGTACAGATCAAAGTTGATCACCGTACTTAATCAAAACAAATGGAAATCATTAGGTCTTTTGACATACTGGCCTCGGAGACAGAAAGGCGGGGGAAACTCCCAGAAGTGATTAGGAGGCACTAATCATGTGGATTTTCTCCTAAACAAGAAAAGATCCTGCATGTAAATTTTAATCCAACCTCATCCTGATTTGTTAATGGATTATATCACATGAGGCATGCATGAGTGGCCAGGAATTGTATGTCTGAACATGCAAGATGTCCCAGTCACAGGGACTTGAAAATTGGGTACAGGACACAGCAAGAGAGTTGCTCTCTGAACACTAAGTGATGTTAACAGGCTGACAAAAGAGAAGTCAGAGGGGATTGCTTGCAAGGGGTGTTATCTAGTCACATTTCTTTTTTGTCTCTGCAACTCAGTTAAGAATGCTTTATCTAGTTTAGCTTATGAGAAGTATAAGTCTAGATATGTTAAGCAAACTGTTTCTTTTCTTGTAATTCCATTTTTTCTCTTTGTTTTTAGTAAATTTGTTTTTGTTAAGATTATGGTTGCATGAGTAATTTTGTACAGACATTCCTGAGGAGAGGAGAGCCCCATAACCTCTAAGGAGAGTTGGTGAAGTATAAAGAGTATCTAGAAGTTACACCGCTCCTTCTCCCCTAGAGTGTTTGGTCACAGGGCATGGGGAAAGGTGTTTGCTCTCCCCAATCACAAACCACAAATCTGCAGCCAATGGACACAAGGGGAGAAGTAAAAAGATTAAAGAGAAAATCACCTGAAGGGGGGTTCCAAAGAGGCTGGAGGTAGGCTGTTCTCAGTGGTGGCAGATGACAGAACAAGAAGTAGTGGTCTCAAGTTGCAGTGGGGGAGGTCTAGGTTGGATATGAGGAAAAACTATTTCATTAGGAGGGTGGTGAAGCACTGGAATGTGTTACCTAGGGAGGTGGTGGAATCTCTTTCCTTAGAGGTTTTTAAGGCCTGGCTTGACAAATCCTTGGCTGGGATGATTTAGTTGGTGTTGATCCTGCTTTGAGCAGGGGATTCGACTAGATGACCTCCTGAGGTCTCTTCCAACCCTAATATTCTATGAAATGAGAATTGCTGGTTGATTGGTCACTGGTCCCATTGTGCTGGGTAATCTGCAAACACAGAAAGCAGAGTGGTCTTAGTCCTGCGGGGTTTACAGTCTAAGTAGGTAGAACCCTAGAGTTTATTGTATGTGGAATGTGTGTCAGTTTTTTTCTCTAATTTTACATATTGTCTTCATATTAAACTGTAAACAAACTTTTACATAATTTATAATCATTTAACTGCAAGTACATGCTCTAAGAACTGATTTTTACATAATGACTGATGTTGGTTCTTTGAGAGTTGTGTTTTTACTAGCTTTGGTTCTCAAAGCCGTAGGTATCATCAATGTTAATTGATTATAACTTTGAAGACAGGGATAAGTAGTTTTAGGTGCTGAAAGCATCGATTTTCAGATGAGATCAGTTTCTCTATTGTCCTCTCAATCTACAACAACTTTCTCCAGTGGGATCTCTTTGTTTGCCTTATAAATTGGTGGTGATTCTGCTACTTTGTTCTGTACTTTAGAAGTATTATTGCTACATTTGCTAAATTTATTTTTATAAACATTGAAATTTAATGTGCTCAACACAAATGTTGTGGCATTGAGTGAGTGTGTGTAGTATACAATATTTGAAGGATACTTTAGATCAGAATAGCAAATTAATATTTACTCAGGTTAAGGTGGCAAGAAAACACATTAACCAGATCTCCAACTTGGATTTGTGTTTCCTTTTTTTATTAGTAATTTTATTATTTTGGGCAGGATTTTGTTCAGATCTGTAATCTTTCTAATATTTTATAGCCTTCATTAGGCTTAGTCTTTCTACTTGCACTTTCCAAGTACAGCACCTCTGAACCTGAATCTGTAGTCATTAGTATAATGTCACTGTGTATCTTGCCTGAATAAGAATTACAAGACTGGGCCCTGCGCCAGCTTGATGTAACATTTTACCCAGCATTACCTGTAATAATTTTGTGATAGTCTTCAAATGTGTTCTAAAACTTTCTTCTTTAATACTTAGTTTTATAATTAATTTGGTTTGTTTTATTGTTCTCTTGTGCTAATTATGTCAAGTTTGATACTTTTGATTAGTACTATATTATATAAACTAGTTAGCCATCATATTAAATGATAGACTTCACAGTAGATATTCTCATGTTTTACTTTTGGGGTTTTTAATTAGGTGTTTCCTTGTGTGTAGTTTTTTTACACATTTCGAGTTTCGTGTTACTTTTCTTTTCTCTTCCAGCATTCTTGAGCTGTTTCATACAAACCACATAAAATTACCACACGACTATTGTCTCAGAATCACTCTTTCGTCCTTGAGGTGTTCTTTTTTTGGCCTTTGGTGAGTACCAAACAATACTTTACCCTGAGATCCATTTAGTTACTTTTTAGTGCACCTGACCTTCCATTATACTATTCTCCCCCCTTATTTTTATTTTCCCATTCTCTTTGTTTAATCATTTTCTTTCTTTGTACCAAATTTTTCTTTTCTAAAGCTATTCTTGAAATTTTTCCAGTTTAACTAAGGTCTTATGGATGAAACATAATCTTTCAACTAATTTCTTCTAATATTTGTTTTAACAATGTTGTTTAGTTTTAAATTTTATATTTTATTGTGGGAGCCTATATGCTGACACAGAACTAGGCTTATTCCTGAGGCTTAAATGATTTGCTTTACACAAAGGCTAATGTGTAAATACATTAGCATCATTTCTGTATAATCATACTATTAATTAACAGATAAAACTCCTTTTGCAAGGATATAGCCAGGTCAGCTTGTCAATTCTGAAGTGAAATGGCAGGATGAGTATAATGACCCCTTGAAGAGTTACAAATTGTTTTGTATGGTATGTGTTTATATATAGAATACAGTATATACTGTAATGTATTTAGCAACTGCTGAATATAAAATATTTGGAATTAAAAAACCCCACTACTTTGACAGACTGGAGTACAGGTATTCATTTTATTTATTTTTGAAAAATACTCTCATACAAGTGTAATTACTGGGGCTCATTGATTAAGCACTAAGGTTGTATTTTCTGCTACCCACCCCCTGCCCTCTGCATAAAGAAGTGCATACATATTTAGTTGGTTTAAATTAAATCCTTTAATGTGTGAAGAGACAAAATTAAATGACTGTGTCAGATGATTCCTTTTTGGGAAATGTACAATGGAGGTAATGTAACAAGGATAAATCTTCTCAGTGCTAGAAAATTAAATATTAAACATGTAACTTTAAAATGTAAGTCCTCATTCTGGTTTAAAAACTTCTCATGCCGTGTAAAAGCAGTGCTGTTTGACAGTTAGTAATGAAGCTGATTGGCTGATCTTCATCTAATAGTGATCTTAATTATTTAATAACCTTCTGCAACCATCATGCCAAATGCATGTGTAACCCATCCTCACATGCAACTGAAAGACTGAAATAAATCCATTATATAAATTTCCTGAGTAAAACTGCTTTAGTGTAATCATAGGAAATTGTCTAGGTGTGTGTATTTGTATGCTAGCTAAAGTAAAGAGTGATTGGTTTTTGGAGCCCTTTGCAAAGCTTGTTTGTCTGTTTGCTTCCATAATCACATGTCTCTGAAGAGGTTAACTGTAAACCCACAGTGCCTCGAAGGTTGGAGCTCCAGGGCGGATGTGCTTAAGCTACTGGGGAGTGTGGGTGCGGAAACTCAGCGCCGGACCTGGGTGCCTAGGGCAGCTGAGCCACAGGATTCCATTTCCATGAAGGAAAACTGACAGAGCCTGTGCCCAGGAAGCTTGAGAGAGAGCAGCCTACTCAGGTGATGTGAAGCTTAAGAACACATGGGACAACGTGGTGGGACCAAAACCACAGTTGCCTGGTTAGGGGGCTTATTCCTTCACCCACTTACTTCCCTGGTCCTTCTTGCATGAACAGAGAGCAACAATACCCAAAGTCCAAAGGTGCAAACAATTCGATGTTTATTGGGGTGAACTTCCAGCAAGCATGATTCCAGTTTCCTTCCTTAGTGTCCCTCTTCCCAGCTCTGACACCACAGAGGCTTACACCTGTGTCCCTGTTCCCATTCTCCCCCCCTTAGCAAAACATGATTCCAATTTCCCCACCCCCATTCCCTGTTCCCATTTTCCCCCCCAAACCCACCCCCCCCGATTGACTGCAGACTATACATTAAAACTTGAGTTCTGCTTAGTTATACCTTAACCAATCATTTTCCTGAAATTTAACTAACCAATCCTAACATATTGTAACATGATTATGTAACCAATTATATCCCACCACCTTAATTAGTTTACACCCAGCAAAATTAATTATACAGCAGACAGAAACAATCACAGAACCAGACAAATTATGCAGACAAATAATAGCAAAGTGGCAACTATAATGACAAAACAATACAGAAGTGAGGATTTCACATCCCAGCCATTGATAAGTGAGTTCTTGCCAGACAGGATGCTATCGAACTAAGTTTCCTTTTACATTTTCATACTTCCCTTTCTCTGGAGGTGATAAGCATTATCAGGACAGGATTGTATTCCTAACAGCTCAATAGCACCTTATTTCAATGGGACTAGGTTGGAATGTGCAGATGTGACCATTGGCTTCCCAGCTTATGGCTGCCTCTGCTGCATAGCCAGAGATCTCAGCCTAAGAACAGGGCCTCAGACTGTCACAGTAAGAGAAGGCCCTTACACCGGCAGACAATGATTTTGATTCTTTCTTTTATACCTCTGTAACTAGCTAAGTGATAAGAATACACCTAAATTCTTAGCGTATAGGCCTTTACAGACAGGCCTGAATATCTATATCCTAACAGTGTCCAGCTGTGGGAGTTCTAGTAAGGCTGTGACACCTTCTATTATCAAATTGCTGTTCCATATGTAGGTTCTTACAGACTACCCGTTAATCTTCTCTTTAAGCTACATAGGGGGAGCTCCTTGAGTCTCACTATAAGGCGTGTTTTTCTAACCTTCTATTCATTCTTGTGGTTCATGTCTGAATTTTCTCCAAGGTATTCACATCCTTTTTGAACTGTGAAAGCCAGGACTGGACACAGTATTCCAGTCATGGTTCCAGTAGCGGTTGCACTAGTGCTACACACAGAGGTAATATAACCTTTTCACTCTTGCATGATATTCTCCCGTTTCTGCATCTGAAGATCGTATTAGCCCTTTTGGTCACAGTATTGCACTGGGAGCTTGTGTTCAGCTGATGATCAGCTATGACCCCCAAATCTTTTCAGTGGCACTGCTTCCCTGATTAATCCCCTCCATCTTGTAAGTATGGCCTACATTCTTTGCTCCTAGAAGTATGGCCTTACATTTGGACATATTGAAAAGTATGTTTCCTTACGCCAGCTTACCAAGCAGTCCAGATTGCTCATAGTATTGGCCTGTCTTCCTTTACTATTTACCACTCCCCAATCTTTGTGTCATCTGCAAACTTCATCAGTTTTGTTTTCTTTCAGGTTATTGATAAAAATGTTAAATTGTGTAGGTCCAAGAACTGATTTCTGTGGGATCCCACTAGAAACAGCCTTTACAACTGCATTTTATGACTGTCAGTCTGTCTGATGATTATAGGATCCATCCACTCCAGTATTTGCTCGTATTTTTGCACATTTTTGGAGTAGACATTTTTTTCCTGTGCCTAAGACTACTGCTGTCAGAGTGGTTCTGAACTACCAGTATAGTTGACACTTGGAAACTCTGGTGATGGGCAACCTGAGACAGTTTCCAATAGCCTAATTATGGCAGTTCCTGCAAGCATCACCGACCTAGATTCTGTTCTCTGCTACATCTACGTAACTGTTACCTACTGGCTTCAGATATGTAATTAAGGGCAGAGTACAGCCAACTGTAGCTTTGGATCTCCAGACATTTCACAGATGTTGTCATAAATATAAAGGGAAGGGTAACCACCTTTCTGTATACCGTGCTATAAAATCCCTCCTGGCCAGAGGCAACATCCTGTTACCTGTAAAGGGTTAAGAAGATCAGCTAACCTGGCTGGCACCTGACCCAAAGGACCAATAAGGGGACAAGATACTTTCAAATCTTGGAGGACAGGGGGAAGGCTTTTCTTTTGTGCTCTTTGTTTACGTGGTTCTCTCTTGGGACTGAGAGAGGCCAGACAGAAATCCATCTTCTCCAACCCATCCTAATCCAAGTCTCCAATATTGCAACCAGTATAGGTAAGCCAGGCAAGGCAGATTAGGTTATCTTTTGTTTTATGTGAATTTTCCCTGTGTTTGTCCTGTTTTCTGTAACTTTAAGGTTTTGCCCAGAGGGGGATCCTCTGTGTTTTGAATCTGAATACCCTGTAAAGTATTTTCCATCCTGATTTTACAGAGATTATTTTTACCTTTCTTTTCTTTTCATTTCTTTTCTTTTCTTTTCTTTTAATAAAACCCTTCTTCTAAGAACCTGACTGATTGTTCCATTGTTCCAAGATCCAGGGGTTTGGGTATTTGATGATTTTGTAACCAGTTGATTAGGATATTATTCTCCAGCCTCCCAAGGAAAGGGGTTGTGAAGGGCTTGGGGGGATATTTTGGGGGAAGACGTCTCCAAGTGGTCTCTTTCCCTGTTCTTTGTTTAAAACGCTTGGTAGTGGCAGCATAATGTTCAAGGACAAGGCAAAGTTGTACCTTGGGGAAGTTTTTAACCTAAGCTGGTAGGAATAAGCTTAGGGGGTCTTTCATGAGGGTCCCCATATCTGTACGCTAGAGTTCAGAGTGGGGAAGGAACCCTGACAGATGTCTATAGAAAACTTTTGATTAGAGCAGAGATCCTGAAACTGTGATTATTAAAGCATTTGCTGGTTGTCTGCAAAGAATTGAATGGTAACATGTTGCTGACTTACCTTATTTTGAGCACAGAGAAGGAAGATAGATGGGAGGAAGAGGAGAAAGGGACAAAAGTAGACATTGATTAACTATTTCAAAAAGATCAAAACACGTATCACACTAAAAGCAGCAAATATATGTATACACACAGTTTCCTAACATAACTTTTCCAAGTAAACAATTGCTATCTGTCATAGGGATGTCATTCATTGTCAAAGAGAGGGCAAGTATTTCATTTGTTTTTCTTTGAGTGATGCACAAGATGAGGTTCTTTTGAATAGCAGTGTCTGTTGGGGCTATGCCTTTGCCCTGGCTACACTCTTGTTTCCCATAGACAAGTGTATGAGGAATGGGGAGGCTGCAACCCACACTCATTTCCTTTTTACCACCCTTGTTTGCAAAATGGAACTGTGTAGTATCCACATCCTTTTCTCCAAATGCATTAGGGCAGTGGCTCTCAACATTTCCAGACTACTGTACCCCTTTCAGGAGTCTGATCTGTGTA